CCGCCAGCCCGCCCTCCGCCCGCGGGCGTCTGCGCGAGCCCGGCCGGAGGGGGAGATGTGCTCGGGCTCCGGCGGATCGGTTTCTCGGGGTTTGACCAGCTGTCCCGGGCTAACCCTGCTCCTCGCTGAAGATGGAGGAAGTAAAAACAGGATTACCCTTAGCTACAGATCCACTGCCTTAGTTTCCACCACCAACTGCAGTGCACAAACACACGTTAGGCACAGGAAAGAAAGAAAGAGAGAGGACACACTAACAGTAAACACAAACAAAAGGGTGATGGGATTGTTTTACTGCATGCACTGCTGAGGTAAATCTCCGCTTGGCTTTTGCGTGGTGAAGAACAGCTCTTGTTTTATTTGTCTTCTGATTCATAGATTATAGATATAAATATGTGTGTGGTTGGCAAAGGGGGGGAGTGTTTTCAAAGTTAAGTGTAATGATATGGCATCTCGTTTTGCACTGTGATGTGATCAAATGACTTGTTGCTGTTAACCCGTAATAATAATAATATAGGTCTTTTTCTCTGGGAAGGATGGGTTGTGGCTATGATTAGGATCATGATTTCTGTAAAGGACGCTCAGGGAATCGGGTGGAAGATGCTGTCCTCTACCTTCATTTATCGTCCCCTTCTTGTAATCTGTTTCTGGGATGTTAATCGATTAATCAGTTCTCATCTCTATAGCTGTCATGAATTTGGATTTGTTTTGCTTTGTTTTAACTTGAAATCTAAGAAGAAAGATCGGGTAGCCTGGGAATACATTGCAGCTGTCCAGTTAGAAGGGAATATTCAGATCCTGTCGAATTTAAAAAAAAAAAAGAAAAGAAAAGAAAACCAAAAAGCCCCCCAAAACTGGTATGACACATGTAAAAAGGCAGCAGTTAAATCCCTTTGACAGGTTCTGGGATGGGCGAAAGAGATGGAATTAAGATGTAATTTTGTTTTGTCTCTTTTTGCCAAGAGCCAAGAACCGTCCTGTGAAGTTGGCCTGGGCTCCTTGCTGGGTTCTGCCTGACCGTCCCTCCTCTCACCCCCCCGTAATAACTTCGTCCCCTTTCAGTTTTCTTGTCTTAGCTTTTGGTCGATTCTTAAGGAACCGGTGGATCAAGTTTTTTCTCTTGTTAATCGCATTGCTGTAGCACTGACTGACCTCTCTCTCTCTCTCTCTCTCTCTCTCTCTCTCTCTCTCTTTTTTTTTTCCTCTTTCCTGAAAGTACGTGGTGCCATTCCTGAGTGACTTTTCCTACTAGACCATCCCAAAGGGACGAGGGGGAGGGGTAGAAGGAGGAGGAGGAGGGGGAGGAGGGGGGTGTTCCTTCTCTCTCAATTCTGGGTTTTGTTTATCAGCCGATCTGTTTGCTGGATTTGGGCTTTGGAATGACCCACCTGTAAAGTGCTTTTCCTTCCTCCTCGCCTTGACCTCTGCAGGGGGCTTGGCTTGGAGGGAGCAAGGGAGGGAAAGAGAGAAGGGGGAACACAAAAAACTTCTTTCTTTCTCTCTCCGTTTATCTTCAGCCCGACATTGTCACCTCCTCTTTGAGGGTTTAGAAGAAGCTGAGATCTCCCGACAGAGCTGGAAATGGTGATGAATCTTTTTTAATCAAAGGACAATTTCTTTTGTATGTACATTTCGTTTCTCCTTTTTCTTTCTTTCCTTCTGTAGGGGTTAATAACCATTTCATTGATGGGACAGACTTCTTTCACTTCTTCCTGACGTTTCTTTCTTTTTAATATGTGTGTATTAAATGTGTACCTTTTTAAAGAGATAAACTCATTTATCTAAAATATCCGCAGAAACTGCTCCCCTTTTAAACTTTACCGGTCCCTTTCTGTAAAGCCTTATGTAATCATAATTTGAAAGAATTTGATAACAGTACAGCAGGTTGAAATTTAAGTGCTATGTACTGACTGAGTTGGGAATTTGATCTGATTATTCCATAAAGAAAGAAAAGTTTTTTTTTTGGGGGGGGGGTAGGGAGAGTGGTGGTGAAGAAGGGGAGGGGAGGGAGAAGGGAAGTGGTTTTGGAGACAAGAAGTGAAGCTGCCTGTTTTCCAGTAAGTAATGGAGAAATTCCAGGAGCCAGGGCTAAATATACTTGGCGATCAATACAGAAATGGCTCATTGTGAATAATTTAGCTGCTGGTGCAGTGAGAGTTTTGAAACTAAAGGCAAAAAGGACCAGGGCCAAAGGAAAAAAAAAAAGTAAAAATCTCCTCAGGACTTGTCAATTCTTAAACTTTTTTCCTTCAAAGAAGACAGATTATCGATCTTTTCATTATGTGAATCAAAGCTAGGGGGTGTCATCTCATACAATTTACTTTTGTTTCTGAGAATGAAGTTCTGTTTTGTGTCATTGGTGCATGAAATAATTCCCCAAACTTTAAAAAAAGTGATTCCCTCCTGTACAGCCAAAAGTTTATGAAATTTTCAAAATAAGAATGCATTAAGTAGGCTTGGCATTTGTATTCAACTATGGTCTGGCAGGAAATTAAGGTTACATTGAACAGGTGCTTACGCAGAACTGGGGGTAGGCTGAAATGTCAGTACGAGTCAGGGAGTTAGCCAACTGCTGCAGAAATCTTCGAGACACAGTTGGGCACTGAGTTTTTGGTTTTGTTTTGTTTTCTTATGTTTGTTTGTCCTCCCCTTCCCTATTAGAACATGATGAACCAACTTGCAACAATTGTGAATAGAGCTATCTGTATACTGGGGAAGTCCTCAAACTGCAGTGTGATTGTGGGAAGTAGTGAATGGTAAAATACTTAAATCCCAGTTAAAGCTGTCACATTTGGGGTGTCCTCCCTTCCCATTCTTTTTCTTTGAAACAAGCACATTTTGATTAAGAGAGTCATTCCTTTCTTGCTGCAGCCCATCTCACAGCACACTTATCTTTCCTATCCTATCTCCAGCAGGAATCAGATCATTTGCAGAAAGAGTTGAGTGACTTGCAAATGAGCACATACAGTACACTGTAGTATGTTTCTTGGGCACAGGTTGCAGCAGCAACATGGACTAACTGCTTGGAGCTTCAACAAAATTATGAATTTAATGGCAGATACTGAAAAGAATCATTGTGTTAAGAGTATAACCTTTTGTTTTGCAGCACTGCACTTTGACTATGGAAACAGAGGCTATTGATGGCTATATAACATGTAAGTATTCATTTTCATTAATTTGTTATTGATAATAAAGTCATCTTCGCATTACCTGTATTTTAATTCCTGAATTATAAGATTTTATTAAGAATTATGTACTTTTATTTTCTATATGTTCACAATTTTATCTTTAAATGAGTTTGAGAAAATAACAGCACAGAAGCCAAATAAGAAGGAAAAATAGAAATATACTCACTACTTACTAAATTAAGGATAACATTTAAATCAATAGTAGCTTAGCAGATAAACACTTTCCAACTTGAGTTTTTTTCATTTACTTTACTGTAAGTTTAGAATAGGTCAGATAACATATATGTCTACTAATACGGTGTGTACTAAATGTTAACTACTCTGTAACCTAATTTTTTGGACGGAATTAGTTTCTTTAAGTTGACATTTTTTTAGCCAATTCTCTTTTCAAAAACTCAGCTCTCTCTTGGATAGCCAGCATTTTTGAAAATGCTCCTTATGAATACTATATGCTTAAAAATTAAATTAGATGTTAAAAGAAAACTTTTTTTCAATTAAAAGATACTTTAGAAATCAACTACTTCCTTTTCCCTTACTTTACACTTTAGTGTATTACAATAATACACTAAATTTTTAAATTCTGGGACAATTGTAGCTTTTGTTGTTTTATTCATTTACTGTATATTTCTAAATGTTATTATTTCCTTATAGTTTCTTTTAAGGGTAAGATGTATTACCTTAAAATTTCAAAGTTATGCATGCCAGTTTGTTTATGTGCAAAGTTAGTAATTAAATTTTATGTAACAGTGAATAGAGACCAAAAGATTTTATTTTGTGAAAGCAGGTGACAATGAGCTTTCACCTGAGAGGGAGCACTCCAATATGGCAATTGACCTCACCTCAAGCACACCCAATGGACAGCATGCCTCACCAAGTCACATGACAAGCAGTAAGTCTTTGTTTTATGATTTTTTTTTTCCTATTTCTCTAGTGATAGATTTGAATTTGTTAGATCTGTGGGGTCCTTTCACATTGTGGCGTAGCTACTGCTATAGATTTTGCTAAAGAAAGAACAACACAGATTTATTCCTGTTCATTCTAGTACTATAAAACATGAGCCTGCTTACTAGTCTGAACTATCCCAAGGTGGCATTTGGGAGCTGGTGCTTACCTGTATCAGGTAAGAAATGTTAGGATTTGCTGGTTGTTGTTTTGATTTGCCAGGTTTATAACTGGATTTGTTGTTGCTTTTGGAGGAAAAAAAAATGGAAACATATCCTTTCCAAAGGACTCTTCGCAGTAAAAAAAGTGAAATAATTTTATATTGTCTTGGTACAAAGCTCAAACATCAGTGGTAGAATTGCAGAGTTAGTTGTTGTTCTTTGTTGTCTTTGTTTTTTGTTTTTAAACGTGAAAGTTTCTCCTCTGAAGCACTGGAAGTGAAGTGTAATTGAAAATTTATGGACCTCATTTATGTCTATTTCTTGAACAAAGTTGAAAGCATTCTGTTTTAGATTGTCCAGAGAAGGACTGAGAAAATTTTCAGTGATGTTTTGTACTTAAAGGAATAGACAGTTTTGGCTACTATGTTTGATAAAGGGTCATTCATTGGTGTAGTATACATTTTTGTGTAATAAGCAACTTACATGCTATCAGTGACACAATACTTTTATTTATGGAGAATATGGTTTGCTTTCTTTTCATTGTAATGTTTTATAAGTTTAGTTACCAAGTGCAAGTGCTCTATTACTTCTACTGAAAAGTAAATTGAAATCTTGTTTCCCTTATACTTTTGATATGTATTTTATTCTGATATAAAAAGGACATGGGATTTATATGTAAATATAATTTAATTTACAAGGTTTTTATTTGGATGATATGTGAAAAGAAAGGCATTTTCTTTTCTTTTTTTTCTCCGAGACATTTAGTAACTAAAGAAAACTGAATCATGTACTTAATCATAAACATGTTCTTAAGTTAATTCTGATTATCTGGAAAGAACAACTTTTCCTTTCCACTTCCTTCTTACCGCTCTCAAAACTTAGGATTATTAGACAAGTTTTGTAATTAGTAAAGGCTACTACTGAATTATGAGCAAAAGCATATGGAATGCTATTGAGTACATTTTGCAATTCATGAACTTTAAGTTATTTTAGCTATTGAATTGAAGTTATGATTGAACTATTTGCATTTATTTATTTGAAAGGTTTATTTATTTATTTATTAATAGGGAGAACTTCCTAAGAAAATGTCATTTTAGAAGCAGACCTTGAAATTCCTTTATTGTGTAGAAAGGAAAAACTAATAAAATTAGTGAGTGGTTATGCTAATCTCTCGTAATGGATCTTATAGCATTAATTTATTTTTTTGCTAGTTGATTTCAGTTATATGACTATTGCAATGTAGGCAATATAATTTTTACATTTTAACATTTAATGTTCCTAGTTCTTTGGTAGAATGTTTTTATTTTTCAGTTAGCTTTCACATAATTTCCTAAAGAGTAAAGTTGGATTTATATGCAGTTTAATATTTAATATTTAGTTATTGCTTTTAGAAACATTGACTATCTGGAGTAGAGAATAACTGTTAATCAGAAACTTTACTGTAATTTCCTAGCCAGAATATCAACAGGAAAATACTTATTAATTGGCTAATTGGCTCCTTTATTTGTGAATTTGATTCTGGTTTTGAAAGTACTTGCTTCAAAAAGGCAGTTCACTCATCTTTTTAAACAGTGCAAAGCTTAGGCGTGATCAATTTGAACAAATAACTGTGCTTTTGACATTTGAGCTTTTCTCACCCCAAAACAGTAAACTTATGTTTGGTAAAGAGCTTTTTTTTTTTTTTTTTTTAACTTACTAGCCTGTGGCAATTCCATGTTAGTATATTTTTTGGCTAAGCTGCACATGTTTTCAGGTTCTTTTCCAAAGAGTTGCAGGTTAAATATTTTGGCTCTCACTTCAGAGCTGTCTGTTGCATCCTTTATGTTGCCTCTATTTACAGTATCTAGGTTACCCACTTAGGTGTTAGATGGAGAAGATACCCATTTTTCCTCTCTGTTAGATCTAGGAGAATATCAGCATTTTAGATTGCCAAAGCAAATACTGGTAGAGAGAGACTCTTGTCTATTAATTAGAACAAGAGATGTAGAATCGGTCACTCAGATATTTTTCTGTGACTTGGAATAATTTTTGTGTGCCTGTGGCCTGTCAAATCAGTTATACCTGAGATCACTGGTTTTCTTAAGTCCCATGCATTATTGACTTTGTTAAATGAAAAAAACTTATTTTCTGCATTTTTTATATCCGCAAATATGCTTCTTGGAGGGCTGCTGCTTCCAGAAAAAGAATTGTAATTTTGATTGAAAGTTTTAAAGCCAAAAGTAAATGTGAAAACCTTTATGATAGAATAAGATAGTTTCTAGTTGCAGGAAGGAGAGGATGGAGTACATATGTAAGGGAGAAAAAGTTATTTTTAAACAGTTTAGGAAAAAAGGAAAGAAGTAAAACCTTTGATTTTTTGACAACAGCCAACATTATGGTCATGAAGTATCAATAAGGTATGCTAGGCCACTTATTTGTCTTTAGAAAGTGGTACTGTAAGGTCTTCGCCATTTGTTTAAGTTATTTGGTGACTATTCTAAGATGAAGGGTATCTGTACAACTTGCTGTCAGCTATTGTATAAAAAATAATGACAGCAGCTATCATTATTTGACAGTGCTAGAATACATCACCGGCAACTTGGGAGAGAACTAAAAATGTTATAATGCCTGACAGTTTTCGGTTTTAAAATTCAACATGTGAGATAACCTTAAAGAGAAATAAGAGGTAATAGTGATCCTAAAATTTTATAATGACTACTTCCTATGTCTTAGAATGAATTTTCTTGGAGAACTTTAGACATTTTCTTCTAGAATAGAGATCTCTTTGATAAGAAGATGGGCATTGTTGCCTGAGATCATTAGTGTACATATTGAGTCTTCTGACAATCTTCGGCGTCAGGGATGACAGTATATGCCTTGATGGCTACTGGAAATACACAGTGTTAAGTGATTTTTAAAATAGAGTCTGGAAGCTAGGAATCTGAGACAGACAACTCAGACAGAACAATATAAAAATAATCCATATTGTATTTTGGCCCATCAGATGAAACTTACTTTGTGATCCCTTCTGTTTCTGGCTTAGCTCATTTCCAGTCCTTGCATAGTTGCTTCAGTATTGGTTTCAAACTGTTCTGTATCTGCAGCTGACTATTTTGATATTTTTTTAAGGTTCAAAAAATTGTAATTATTTTAATTTTTCTTATCATCTACTTTTACAATGCCAATAAGTAAATTTTCTTTATAGGTAGTTTCTTTAATGGTATGAAAATACATCATGACACAAAATTTATTTCTATTACTTTAAAACCCTTAAGTGGATCAGCTGTGCAATCAATAGTATTTATCAGTCAGTTTGATGGCCAGGTGGCATGTATGGAATTGGAAGAAGTAGTAATTCTAGTTTTACAAGGCTCTGACCAATAATCAGGTCAGGGAATCTAGTTTATTCTTTTCAGAGTGCTTCATATTCATTTTTTTTTCCTAGCTAGTTTCCATTTTTAGAACCTAGTGAAGCAGAAGTATATTATAATTTCTATTTTTCACATGTGGAAATTGAGGCTTGAAGAAATCAATTGACCTCTTAGGTTGCTTAGCAGAAAAATGAAATTATCAGGAGTGGGACATAAAACTATGATATTACCTTGTGGATTAGTTAGATAACTGGTGTCTTTACAATGTCATCATCTCAGGGTGTCCACCATCTCCAATACTGACACATGTTTAGTGACAAAAACAGTATTACAGAAATAGAAGAATGTTATTATGAGGGTGAAGCGATATCAGATAATCTTGTCAAGCAAATGTTGTCATGAGCTTTTTAAAATGTAGCCTATACTATGGGACTCAGTAGCTTTCTGAGTTGTCTTGTATACCTAACTTTGGCAGTCACCCTTAGTTGGATTTCTATTGGATACACCCTAATATAACACCAAATGGGCTTGATGTAAAATCTCGCTAGGTTTTGAATAGTCATACTTAGGTTTGTGTATGTACCCAATGCACTTTACATTTAGTTCTTGCTAGAAAATTAAAAAATAACAACAACAACAAAAACCCACTTCTGATTTGATTTTTTTACAGCTGTCAGAGGTAAGTGTCATGACTAGGTAGCAAAAGATAAAAAGGAATAAAAAGGAAACTAAAGGAGGTATATATTTGCAAATAATTAACAGCAAAATGATGTCTTTTCTTTTCTTTTCTTTTTTCCCTGTTGCTTGTTTCTCCTACCTCCCACTTTTTAGGTTGCTTATTAGTGAGAGTTAAGGTTTGTCTTCAAAAAACAAAACAACTTACTATAGAGAGATTATTTTTATTGCCTCTATCTTTGACTAAATCTGTCTTTCCTGCTGGAAGTACTTTTTAAAAATGTAACATGATTGATTAGATTCTATTGGGAGTCTTCCTGTAAGATGTGATGAATTAAAATTTCTCGGTCCCATGCTCTTGTCTCCTAACTTTTGATATATTGATATATTCTGGATATTCATATATTTTGATCTTATGACATTCTGAAACATCAATAGCAGGGTCACAGTTCCAAAATGAGGTAGAATATGTTGTTTTTCTTTACTTTTTTCCTTTATATCTCTTTATATCAAATATATTTGTTGATCTGGTAATATTTTCCTTTTGTGAATTAATCAAGACTCAGAATATCTCTGCTTTGGAATAGATAAGGACTACTTAGGAACTGTCTCCCTTATTGTAAATGTTGTCACCACTGGAGTGAGAGAAGGTAGAGGGGCGTAATTTATCGAGTGTATATAGGATGCCCAGCACTATGCTAGATGCTTTCTACATTAATTCACATAGTCCTCACAACAACTCTGTGAGATGGGTAATTAAT